CCTTTGGAGGAGACACCAGAAGTCAATTCCACTTTGACTTTGGCTGGCTTTTCCTAGAAAGAATAAAAATACATTGTATACATATGGCATTTTACAACTGACAACACATTCACAAATATATTCTCATTTGATGCTCGTAACAATAATTTACGGGCAAGAGATAAGGAAGCTGAGGCCACGAGAGAGGAAGAGGCTAACTTAAGGTCCCAAGTATGAAACTGGCATGAATCTAAGTCTTCTGACTCCAGGTCCCCTTCTTCACTACAGTATTCAATGCCTGTGTTAGGGTAAAGCTCTTCTCCTCCTAACAAACTTCTTACTGGTATGCCTCTTTAGGCTTCAGCAAACAAACAAATGGCATTTTTACCATGACCTTTGACTGTTCAAAACCTACTTCTTTGTATGTCTAAAAAAAGGGTTGGCATGTGCCATATTGGGCCTAGAACCCCTAAGTTATTTATCTTGGTGGTCCCTTTGTGAGATTCAGTTAATTCCAATGTGATCACAATCTCACACAGATAGACTCAAAGCTTCCAACTCTGTTGGGAAAAAGTCTATCTTTTGTCCCAGATTCTTTCAGGTGAGTCTTAAGGCTGACTTACATATATGCCACAAACTTCTCCCTGGGATAATTTAACTCATACGTACTCATTATGTGCTAGAAAATATTCAAAATCACTAAAAGTATCAGCTGCTATCTCAGACAGACCTACTTTTTTTTTTTTTTAAATATATCTTCATTGATTTCAGAGAGAGGAAAGGGGAGAGAGAGAGATAGAAACATCAATGATGAGAGTCATTGATTGAGCCCGCAACCTGGGCATGTTCCCTGACCGGGAATCGAACCCTGATCGCCTGGAACCTTTGAGCCATGCCTGGCCGGGCTCAGACAGACCTACTTTAAAAATTCCTTGGTGCTTTAACTTTTATCCAACTAACATATACATACACATGCATATACAAGGTGGGGCAAAAGTAGGTTACAGTTGTTCATATGAAAAATACAATAATTAATAACTAATAATACAAGAATAAACTCTGTTGCACGCACTCAAAACTGGAAACCTAGGAGACGAACATAAAAGCTGGGTTCTATCTAGGCTTGTCTTCACTCCTAATAACTAAGTGACCCAAGGCAAGCTTCAGCCGAACCCTCATTTCCCCATTATAAAATAAGAGAGAATTGGGTTCTCAGTGTTTGTCGACAGCAACAAGACAGCCTTTCAGATAACCCAAATGAAGCAGGATCCCCCTGCCCCACTAGCATCTGTGGCTGTCATTAAATTTCATTACTATTTTCCAGTCACTGGTTACCAAAAACCCCTTATCCCCCCAGGCAGCATGTTGCATCTAGTTAAGAACTTTAAGAAATTATAGACGACCTTTAGAAATCTGCATAAAGCATTCTCAGATTCTAACACCCACTAGCCCATGAGGATGAGTAAAAATACAGAAAAATGCCAAGGAAACTGCACAGGGCGTATTGACTGCTAAAGAGGGAAAAGTCTGCAGCAAAACAGGAGACAAGTTAAACTAAGCCTCTAAGATGAGATCTTTGAGCAAAACATTGCCCCCTTAAGTAGACTAGACAAAAATCCTTTGCAGGGAGGACTGAATAATTTAAGCAATAAGAACAAAAATTCTAGCTGGTGATCTCACATTTCCTTAACTCAACCTACCCTTTTTAGATGTCACCTTTCTTTCAAGATGAAAGGCAAATACTACCAGTTGCCCACTCAGAGAGACCTCAATTACCACTATCAAAGAGCCCATAGGAGTGAGGCCTTGAGCTATCCTACACCTCCTACACCATCTTTTGTTCCATCCAACTCCTTGGGAACTGTGCCACATGTTTTTTGGGGCTAATTTTAGCCAGTATGAACTCCAGAACAATACAAGAAAAGGTGAGTCATTTCCTGACTGGCATGGACACATTTGGAGCTTTTAGAAACTATTTATACTTGCTTCAAAAATCAGGACTAAAAAATCCCAGCAACGCTTGAAAGTGCGGTTTAGTGGAAGAAAAAGTGCTGGCATAATTAGTGAACTTAACAAGTCACTTCCCTTGAATCTATTTTTCCTCTGCTGGAAACTTAGAGTTGAACTACCTGATAACCCAGGTCACTTTTATCTCTAAAATTCTAAGTACATTAATGCTATACTCTTTTTCTACTCGTACTCACTTACTCTGTTCCTATGAGGTTCAGAAATCATAGAATCTACTCTTTACATAAAAGTTTTTACAAAAACCTTTGGGGGAAAATTCTGACTTAGCAAGTCAATATGGGGGACAAGTAGCTAAGAATAAAAATTGTTTCATGTCATGAGTTTGATTTCAGAAAGAGAATCATGGCTCAAAAGTTGTTTCAATCAAAGGTGGGAGAAAAGACATAAAATAAAAAAGGAAGCAGATAAAAACATAATCTGAAGAAGCCATGGCCACAGGGTCAATAAGATTCTTCCATGTAAAAGCAAGGAAATAATGTCAACAGACAGACCTGCTGTGCATGAGTGAAGAAGGGCCAAGGAGGGTTTGACTACTGTCCAATTCCACCTCCATGCTGCAGCCGGGAAGTAAATTCTGGGGAGAACTAGGATGGGAATAGACTGAACGACTTCACAGAAACACAGCAGAGGTGGGCACAAGATACTCGACAAAACCCCGAGCAGACGCTAACGCTAGATCCTTCCTGTCCCTTGAGTGATCACATTAATAGCAATAATAGAGACAATAATTATGTTGCTGTCAACAATGACAGAAGTGAAGCTTCACTGAGGATTTAATAAATGCCAGGAATGTGTCATCCACTTTACATGAATAATCTCACTGGACCCCTGCAACAACCCCAATGAGTTAGGTATTATTAACTTCCGACTACAAATGAAAGGAAACCTAAATCAAGAATAGAGACATAAAATGACTTGCCCAAGGTTGCATAGCTAAAAACCTGGGAAGCAGAGGTTTGAACTAATAAAGCTGAATCCAGACTGTGTTCCTAACTATTACCCTATTCTGTCTCCTGGAATTGGTGCTACCCTGAACTCCAACACTCAGCCAGAGGGCAAAAATCGTCATCCCAGTATTTCTCTAAGAGATGTTCTAGAAATTGCCCCAGAGAAAATAAGTATACTGCTAAGTTTTCTCTACACAAATATATTTGGATGATGCTGAGTTAATCACATTATAAACACAATCCTAGCATAAGCTATTTTCACAAAAACAATGCCCCTTTTCTTTTTCTATCTACCCAAATTCTACTGATCCTTCTAGACCATCCCCTCTATACCCTCTATAAAACCATCTCTGACTATGTTGAACGGAACTTCACAGGGGCATAGCTCTGATGCTCATTTATTTACTAAGCATCAATTATTTGGAGAGAGACAGAGGCATATATTTGGAAAGTCAGAGTCAGAATATGAAGGATCTTGAGTATTAGGTTAAGAACTTCCACTTTTAACAGGAACGTAGGGGACTGAAACGACTCTGAGTTAAGGGGTGAGAAGATGTGAGCTATACATCTGAATAACAAAGCAGTCAGTGTAAAAGATGGATTGTTAAAAATTTAACCCCAAAAGGAAATGAGTAAATTAACATGGTATAGTCATCCATGGGAAATTATAAAGCAATTACAGATAACATTTTTGAAGAATATCTAAAGGCATGATACGTTAAATGAAGAAAGGCAAGATACAGAACTTGTATATTCACACACAAAAAAGACCAAAATGTTAACTAATAATGGTTTTTCTTCGGATGGCATAAGATTATGGATAATACTTTATTCTTTCTTTTTAAAACAGTCTGCAATGAAATTGTATGATCAGAAAATAAAAATAAATATTAATTTTTAAAGTCATCTGTTCTTAAGGGAAACCTACTTTGTAGGCTTCCAAAGCAGGCAGCAGTGGCCAAAAGACCTTACCTTTGGGATCCACTTCCCTCCTAGGAAGTTACCACAGGTAGGGCACTTAGGTGGTTTGTGCCTGGTAACATATGTAAAGGAGCAACCTGGGCTAGTGCATGTCCCATGGCCCCGGCGGGTGTATGTAGTGGTCTGCGTAAAAAAAAAAGAGTGGGTCAGAATCAACACCACAGTCTAACCTCTCAGATCCTGATGACCATTATAATCATAGGAGGACACCAACTTGTAGAAGGATAAGGCAATTCATGGTATAAAAGGCCAGAGCTGTAAAGATCCTCAGATACAACTAGTAAACTTTTTAGAAACAGAGAAACTGAGTTCAAACGAGAAAAGGTAGCTACCCAAGGTTACACAGTTAGATGCCAGAAAAATGATGATAGTAATAGCTCCTATTTTTCAAATTGAGATATAAGTGACATCTAACATCATATTAGTTCCAGCTGTCCAAAATAATGATCAATATTTGTATGTATTCCAAAACAATCACAAGTCTAGTTAATATCTAGAAATTGTAATTTTTTTTTTGTGATGAGAGCAGTTGCCATTGAGTGGGGAATCATACAGCGCTAAACATTTTACACAATATCTCATTTACTGCCCTCAGCAATGCTATGAAGTCGTATCAGTACTGAGGTTCAGAGTGGTTAAGTACTTTGCCTGAAATTGTAGTGACTCAAGGACAGAGCTAGACCTAGGAACTAGCTCTCTCTGACTCTTGGTCCAAGATCCCTTCTGTATGCCCTGCTGCACCGAGACTCTGAATATTTCAAAGAACGTGCTTCATCTTCATTCCCATCGTTAAAACCAGAGAATCGAGGGTTCAGAGATAGAAAATAATCACTAAATGGTCACTATAAATGGTCACTAAATAATGAGAAGGAACTTCAGCAGAAATCAGAATTTAATTACTATTTTTAATCTCTGGTTGGCAGTCCAAGTAAGTATGCAGAGGGCAGGCCTGTTTGAGTTATACCTAGATTTTCAACTGTGCAGGGGGTTAGTGCCTCTATCCCGTTGTTGTTTAAGGGTCAATTTTACTTGCTTATGAAAATATTCAGCCACTTGCTCTCACCATCTCTGTGCTGATTTCAACAGAACGTATTACAATGGGTTGTTGTATTTTAGTTACAAATAGAAATTAGTCATGATCCATTTCTAGATTAATGCTGGAAAGAGAACATTTCCCTGTCAGATTTGTACTGTCACTTAAGAACGTGTATTCAGCTATTAATCCCAGCTTCCCTAGCCTGGCCAAAAAGCAAAAATCACTCTTGAGAAAACACCAAGCTGCCACTAGGCTACCTAGGAAAAGGTGATTATGATAGTGTGAAGTGGTTGCAGCACCAGGAAAAAAGACCAGGCCTTGGATTGTAACTTTGCCACTGACACACTCAATGACCAGATAATCTGAGAACTTTGGCCATCCCAGCGTCTTCAGGTCTAAGACTTCTAGGAAACTACCTGGAAGAGAATTCTTATGGAGGACTAGTCTCCATCAATTCCCCACACACTGACCAGTTTGATGGAGGTGGGATTTTCCACAACGGAGTAGGCAGGAAGAGGCAACATGATGAACTGTGTGGCCGGCACAGAGGAGCTACTCTCACTGGAATCCTGTGGGCACATGGAAAGAAGAGTTTTACTGAGACAGAGTAAAGAACACCAAGGGCTCCCCAACACTGGAAGATCAGATCGAGTCCAATAACCACAATGTGCTTATTAAAAAAAAGAATCTACAATTGTCTCAAAATAAAGTTTAATTAAGAGCAAATAAAACTAGAAAAAACCCCAACATTACCACAGGGTATGTGCTACCCTCATTTTACAGATAAGAAAACTGAGGTTCTAAGAGACTTAGGACTCCTAAGATCACACAAGCAGTGAAAGAACCCACCCCTTCTGACCCTGTCGAATGTTCTTAGCACCACGCCAACCTGCCCTAGCCCGGCCAGCAGCATACTTCATTATCATTAGCAGCACTGGAGCAACAAACGATAAAATGGACTTAGGCCTGGCACACTCTTTTGCAGGGGTACTTGCTCTCATCTTCACAGACCACAGGGGCTGCAGCATGCCGGGCCTCTCAGCAGAAACTGCTCTTCCCCTCAACTGGACATGCCACTCGAGCTCTGGAGACTTGCCTCTTCTTTCTTAGTCCCATCAACCTGAAGAAAACTTCCTTCTTCCTGCCTACTCCATGCCCATGAAGACCATTTGAAAATTTTCCTATACAGTTCAAGGTGCCATTGAGTTTGAAGAAACAATCTTCAGGGAATATAAAACCCTGACAGGTCCTAATACCCTGACAGATCCTGGCTTTAACTCATGGATAGCCCAAATATTGTTTCCATCCTTCTTGCTAATGTATTATGTACTATTTCATATGAAGAAAACTCCACCTATGCTGGGCAAGAGAAGCTAGTGAGAGCGCCCGGGAAACAGAAAACCACCTGGAGTGAGCCCAGGGGCAAGAAGGTTCAAGAGGATTGCAGTCCTACTAGAAGTGCCACATCAGCAGTTTTCTTCATAACCATAGCTCCAGAATCAAACTGCATGGTGCTAGCTGCCTTTTTAGTAATTCTTGAGAAAGCAAAAGCATCAAGTACCAAAGCCACTTACCCTCATGACTGTTACCACTGACATGCTCTCCCCAACCTGGGGCTGAGGCACAGCCAGGCTTCTGGTGGGAAGGTCTGGTGAGCTGTTCACTAAGGTCTCTTCAATTACCAGGCTTGTCTGGTAAGGTTGGTGGCTCTCTCCTACCTCCAGGGAAGCCTCCTCCAGGAGCACATCCTGGTTGAGGATCTCTGAGGTGGTGATCTCCTGTACAGCACCTGGCTGGGCAAGGGCTCCCACCTCCTCAGTTAGAGCATCCACAGCCATGCATTGCTCTGCCATGCCTGCATGGCTGGGCACTGTTTCCAAGGCAGTGTTGGATATAAGAGATGATCCTTTAGGGGACACCTGGTTCTGGGCCACACACAGTTCTAGCTGGGGGCAGCTCCGATCCTCCTGTAGGCTGCTCTTGGGGATGATGATGTAATCTGATCGGGGTAGGATCTTGCGGAAACCTGGGATGTCCGGAACCACGGCGGTCAGTGTTGAGAGCTTAGAGTTCTGAAGATGAGGAAGCCAGGAAAGGGGAGACAAGCAAAGATAAGTGGAGTAAGGCCACATGGATACACATTTCTGTGCTCATTTTTTTTCCCTGCAAAAGGGACCAGAAAGACTCTACTCTCTTGACCTAAGACTTAGGTAGGGTCAGCCTCTGTAACAGCAATGCTCTGACTCTTCTCGCCCCACAAAGCTGTGATTCTTCAATTGAATTACACTCTAACCAATGGAGTTTCCTCACTCATTCACACAGGAGGCAGAGAAAATGGATTAGACTCTGCAAAGGGCACTGATCTTGGCATCCAAAACTGTGAATGGGAACCCAGGTGTGGCATAGTCTTGAGCAAATCCATTCCCTTTTTTCAGACTAGCTGCCCGAACTGGAAAATGAGGGAACTGAATCTGGCTATTTATGAATTCCTTTCCAGCTCTGATATTCTAGGATTCCACAGTAGCAGAAGATTTAAACGCCAGAATTTATAATGTGCGATAAAAAAGCAAAAAGCCTAAATTACAAGTCAACAGCCTGAGCTGGAACCCAAGGCAGCAGGCATTCAGACACTACTGGTTTCTCCCAAATGACAGAGAAGAGGATGAAAAGCTCATGAGGCCAAAGTGGCCTCGGGAGAATGCGCACCTGCCAGGGGCTATGCGACAAGGGCTCAAA